TACAGCACTTTGGTCCTGTGCTGGGTATTTTAAAGTGCTTTATAAATAAAATTGGATTGGACTGGAAATGCAGCAATGCAGCCTCCGAAGCATGCGGCCTATGAATTGGGACATAGCCTCTGTGTCTGTCTGCATCTCTGTGCATTACTTCCTGTTTTACTTTGGTAGTCTCCTGACTGTGTGCGCCATATTTTGTTGTACTTCTCTTTCTCTGAAAGTACCTCGTCTCATGTTTTATGGTCCCTTTACAGTTTTACGCCTTTACGGTTCGGAGCCACAGACCTGTTTTATATACGTGCGGAATAGTTTTCTATACGACATCGCTGCAAAAAGTGCAGCCTTACCTATTGTCCACCCTACTGTTATTCGTTTTATATTAAGATTTAAAAATGTAGTTGGTATTGGTATGACGAGTAACCTTCAGTAAAAGTAATAAATCACACAGCAATAGTACATTCATTAAGTTGTAGAAAGCATGATAATATATTAAGTAATCCAAAGTATTCAGAATACGTTACTCTCAGTCTCCATGCCGAATATCCTTGGGCAAGATACTAACCCCGAGTTGCTCTCCAATACATTCATCGTAGTATGAATATGATATTAGATAGATAGAAAGCACTTATATAGAAAGACAGTGCTTGTATGAATGGGTGTAAATGGGTGAATGAGGCAAGTTGTATAAATCGCTTTAAGATAGAGATAGATAACTGCTATATAAGAAAGAGTCCAGTTACCATTGAAGTGCATTCAAAACTCTTCTTTGGATGTTGGCTGCTTCTGGGTCAATTCTCTGTCAGGATGATTCCACACTGCTTCAAAAATGTTTAGGTCCGTGCTCTAGAGAGACCAATCTGGGACTGATAGTGTTCTGTTGTGTGCGTTCCCTGTAAAGGTGTGCATTTGCTACATTCACAGTGAGACTGGGATCATTGTTGGGTCGAAAAATGAATTCTTTGCCACTCACACATGTTCTGGGTAGCACGGCATGGAGCTCCACTAAATATTATTGTTTAGTTTGGCATACTATCTTCTCCCTGTTTCTATTTAAGATCGACATGACAGCTGCCCTTCCACTGAGACAATTTCAGATAAGACTTCAGCAAATAGCAGATGGGTCAACTGAAGTGCCTGATGCATCTGTTTGTGTCAGATTGTTGATTGTTGTTTTTTTTGTCCACTTCCACTTGTCTGAGTTCATCAAAATATTTATAAACACAAAGGAACACAAATATTTAGATCAAAGGTTTGCACTTGGATTTTAACTACCAGACTGGACTGGAAGATTAACCTTTTCTGAGCAACTGCAATCTAAAAATTGGATTTACAAGTCTGTCCATACCACGTTTTCAAGTACTAGGTTCTTGGGAATTACCTTTTTTCGGCAAAAACATAATTACTTAAGCTTCTGTTTTACACCCGCCAAACTGTTATCTGGAGCATTTTTTATTTTTTTTTTGAGAACAGGCTGCTAGCAACAATGGGTCTAAATATACAATTTAAAATTAAATTGGATCTTTGCCAAGTTCTATGCTATATGTAAATGTAGCAGTAGTTCTCCCCTTGAGTTTTTTTTTTTTTTAGTTGAGTATTAAGTGGCAAACTAACAAAACACATTAATTCTGAAAATGATCAGCTACCAGTCCATTAAGGACTGGACTGAAAATAAGTGGAAAAGCAGCCAAAGTCGAAAGAAAAACTCTGAAAGATCTTCAGAAAGCTAAACAATTCTTTAGCCTCTTGGAATGAGAGAAATAAAATAACACAGAAGTGACTCAAGACTACATGTTCTGTACATGTATTTAGAACCAAATAATATGACTTTAATTCCATCATGCTAATACATGAATTATATAGTTTACAGGTGTCAATGTAGAATTTACAACAGGAATCAACTATATTGTTTTATATTCCCACAACACATGAGTTACGAGTCTTCAAAGAGCTACACTTTCAGTATATTTAATATATACATTGTGTATTTGAGATCAAGATCAGAAGAATATTAACACTCAGTATATTACTTAACAGGTACACATTGCTAACTACTGCAACTGTTGCCATAAATGAGTATGTGTTATGTATCTATGGTGTAAAACATGCAAAAATATCCATTATGTGTGCATATAAAATTAGCAGAAAAAGTAAATACATTTATTTTTGCTTAATTATTTCTTTGTAACAGTTCCTGTTGGTGATAAATCTTATACTCTAGGAAAGCCTGTTTATTTCCCCTTAAATGGTGCCATGTTTGTAAGGAAAATGCATTTGGATTTGGATTGAGCTGTAAAGTCTAGTATTTGGGTTGTGCCCATTACAAACTCACCAAAATTCTCTCTACCAATGCCAAAACAGTTTATTCTGCTATTGACTCTATGTTTGGTGTTGTTTATTGGATTGTCTGATTGAAGTCTGGAGAAACAAGACATACTGGCAATTTAATAATTCATTAATTTATCAAATGGGGGGCTCAGTAACATGAGAGCCATGTACAGCCACAGTTGGTGATTTTGGAAAGAACAGCATGCCCAAGCTGATCCCATATGTGTTCAATAGGTATTAGGTCAGGACTTCAGGCAGTCCTTTCTATCATCACCACTCCCAAATTCTGGAGGTAGCCTCTGATAGCCGTGCTCTTCAGAGGCGAGCACTGTCATCAGTTTGGTCCCAGATTGGGGAAATATGCCATCGCCACTGGTTGCAGAACCTCATCTCGATATCTCTCTGCATTCAGATTGCCTCCGGTGATGACAAGCCTTGTTTATTCAGTGAGGAAGATGCTGCCCCACACCATCACACTGTCTCCGCCAAAAGCAGTTACTCCATTTTCCACATCTTCTCCACACTTCTCCACCCTGGAATCATTGCTGAGCATAATTTTCTTCCAAATGTTCAGATTCCAGTGCACATGTTGCAGACACTGGATAAACCTGATGGTGAACGGCAGTCATGGCAGGCCTCCTGCCATCCCTACGAGATCGGAGATTGACTGTGTGCAGTGTCTTTCAAATTGTCTGGATAGAGAGCTGTCAGCCATGTCGTCCCGTAAACTTTGACTGCAAATCTGTAGGGCTTACTCCAAATAATACTGCAACTTGGCTTTGCAGAACATCAACTTGAATGGCACAGGCCATAGGACAAATCAGTCAAATGTGGAATGCTTGGAACAGACATAAGATAACCACTCTAGGAGTGTCTGTGCTCCCAGTTTGAACATAATCCACATAACCAACTCCGCTGCTCAACCCACTTACAAATGTGGGACCATTTCAGGGGACATAAACAAGCTTTGAGCAGTATAAGATTTGTTGCCAAGAAGCAAGAAATAGAAATAATTAAGCATACATTAATTTCCTTATATGTTAAGATATAAGTTTACTAATACAGTGGGATGCCAAAGTTTGGGCAACCTTGTTAATAATCGTTATTTTCCTGTATAAATCGTTGGTTGTTACAATAAAAAATGTCAGTTAAATATATCATATAGGAGACACACACAGTGATATTTCAGAAGTGAAATGAAGTTGATTGGATTTACAGAAAGTGTGCAATAATTATTTAAACAAAAGCATGCAGGTGCATAAAGGGGCTGTAGGTTCTGAGAGGTTTGTGGTGAAGCTTACTGAACATTAAACATGTATATATGTCCTAAATATATATTGAAACATTATTTTTGACTGCAAAAAGCAAAGAATAAATGTAATTTAAATTGGACATGAGGTCCACCATAATTACAAGAAAATCACTTAAAGGCTAAGGAGTAGAAATATAAAGCTGTGTGATATGGTCTCATATCGCAATAAAAGCATACATTAAATATAGTGCATTTTCTGTAAATTCAGATATATACGTATAAAAAGTGTGCCGGTCCTGCGGGACAATGCCTGATATCACAGATTATCAGTCCAGCCCTGGCTACATATATTTTCCATCTGTAAACAATGGGTAAATAATATCGCCATGTGGGAAGTAAAGAAAAAGAAACAGCTCATCTTTAAAGCAAAGATAAATGCTACATAGCTAGCTTAAACAGTTACCACACATAAATCTTACATTTTGCTGACCTGGACATTTACATTGTATAGCCAGAAATGTTCCGGTAGTATTCATTTTCACATTAATGTTGTGCCATAACATAAAGTTGATCAAGTATTTTTTCAGTGTCAGGAAAGCAGGGATTTGTGTGATAGGGGCTGTAAGGCAGGGTTAGCTGGGTGTCTCATATGCTGTTGCTGAACTTGATGTTCTTGTGACAGCTTTAAATAAATGCTAGTTAGTGCATCTGATAGCACAGCAACTATCTGGCATTTTGACTAAGTTAAACTCGAAGATGTTCAGCTGGAGGGCAAAGGATCACATTACTGTTTTTACACAGCACAAAATGAAGAATTAAGTATAATATAAAACAATAGACAGTTTAATATCATCATCTGATATAATTTGTCATACTGCACAACCCTAAATATAAATGTACATTTTAATAATGTTTTAAATGTTGGAATTTTTCTATTGCGATAAGGAGCACTGAAAATAGTCATGAAGACTACTACCCAAGTTTACCTCATAACTGGTTGAAACCAAACCTTTGATGCTGAATTTCACAATTTTGATGCTACACAATATGCGACAAATAACAATGTCATTTCCTTGCAGCTTTTGTTACGCTGGGGCTCTGAAACCACCACAGTAAAGTGGAGCAGAAATCACTGTTAAATATCTGATTTTTTTCTTCAGCTGTGGGTCTGTATTTCTGATGATGCTAAATAGATCACTAAATATAAGAAGTGAACACCTTACCAACCTGTACTCAATGGGACATTTGTTTTCTTCGGACTGATTGAAATGAATGAGATTTATGAAAAAAATAAATAATACATAAGTTCTGTCTCTTTTAATGAATTCATTTTACTTCAGCTGGTCCACAATGAAATAAGAACTGACAAAAATACAGTGACTGCTGTGACATAAAAAATGAAGTAAGCCCTGTTGATTTTTTTTACCATTCTGGCCCAGTATCCGAACTTCTCTTCCTTCTTGTTACTGCTGAGCAGACTTATTGTTTTCCCAATCTCTCTCAGTTCATCTGAGACTTGTTCAAGACCAAGGGACACCTCTGTCAGCTTGTCGCTGCTCCTCTGCAAAAGTTTTGTTTTTACATTTTAAAGAAAGTTATCAACAAATTTAGGCCACTGACTGCTACTACATTTGACACAATAGTTTGTTTCCATTGTGACTGAAATAAAAGGGGTTTCTACTAATATACAAACAAACATCTTGATCTCTTTCTCCAAGTAATTTCTCAAATGCAAGCTCAATGATTTTTATACTTGACTTTAAATAAATAGCCCTTTAAAGTGTAGCTAAAGTCTCACCTTTTCAGTCACAGATTGTGTTTCATCAGCACTTTCATCACAAACAGATGCACAGTCACTGGATTTTATTCCTGGGAGGATATTAGACAAAATGATTAAGGGTACACAATTAAAACGATATACTGTAATTAAATGTCATGTAAATGCTAATGTTAATGTGTGGGTATTTTAACCATAACTAAAGATAAACCTGCTTACATGAGTTTAGATCCACAGGCTTAATCTCACCTCTAACACAGAAGTTGGCTTTGCACCATTTGTCTCCACAATTTACACTCAGGTTTTGCTCTTCATCCATCT